CGAGGGACCACTGTACATCAATAACCAACTTAGGTAGACTGCCTCAGGACATGACTAAAATCTCTTTTCAACCACATGAGTTATCAGTGAATAATTTTATTACTGCCTTTCGTAATACTGACTGGCTGGGCTAGTTAGTGGGCAGCCACAATATTAACCCTTTCAGGGCCCATGCCGTAGATCTACGGCTTTACGTTCAGGGTCCAAACCGTAGATCTACGCCATGAGCTCAGCTCACTCTGATAAGCTGTGAGCAGTAAATTTGGGCCTAGATATGAGAGAATATATCTATTTGGTATGTGTGCACCACATAAAACAAATCCTGCAGCATATAGTGCATAATGAGAGAAAAAAACTGAGACCATAATTTCAATTAAAATGGCGACTTTGCAGTGCTTTTCATATGTTTTTTATAATGGTATTTGCAATTTCTTGGTCTCATTTGATAGAATGGAAGATATACTACAGAAATAGAGGTGATTTTGATTGGTTTTACTACTGGAAATGGCTTGAAACTGAGCTCAAAGTAGCAGAAATGTTAAATTTTTGCCGATGTTCAAGAGTAAACAAATGACCTCACACGTCTAGTACATGACAGCTGGTGGGTCTAATATACATTCACAAATGTGCTGATATTATTTATACAATTATTATAGTATTGCATAACAGTAAATCTTCTATTTTCTGGTTTGAATAAAAATTTATTATGTGAATAAAAAATCAAAATGGAATTCATTTGTAAAGCCTGAAAACGTAACTAATGAACAGAGGAAATGTTAGTTTAGTACCAGGAATGCCTGCATTGTTTATTCTGGTCCCTATTTTGAAATTGGAATATTTTGAACTTTGCGTTAAATTGGCCAAATTACCAATTTCCGGTCACTTTATTTTGTTGTTGAAACGGTTGACTTGGCAATTTCTTGTGCTCAATCGATAGAATAAAAGTAATACTAGTGAAATAGCTAAGAATTTGGTTGCCTGGATACTGTAATTGGCCTAAAATGGGAGTCAAAGTTGGCAAAGTCACCGATGTGTAAATATCGCCGACACATCAAAATTTGCGAGAGCATAATTTCACCAATTTTCCATCAAATTTCGTAGTTTTTGTTTTATTACCTTCAGAAAATGATTCTCTACCATTTCATAGGAAAAAACAACAAAATTATTTTTTAAAATTCTTGGACCCTGGTGCACACTTTGAAATTTGGTCTCTGGACCCTGAAAAGGTTAATGAATGTCAAAATATTCCTACACAAAACCCATAACCTCTATAATAGACATTGTGGTATGAAAACGAAGCAGATCTCGGCAGAGAGATTAACCCCTTGACTGTCGCAACCTCAGATCCAGAGGTGTCTCCTGGTGTCACAAAATTTAAAAAAAAAAAAATTCTTATGAAATGACATATAATTTTTCCCGATTGTAATGACACCAAAAGAACGAAATTTGATGGAAAACTGATGGAATTATGCTCTCGCGAAGTTAGCGACCTCGGCGATACTTACGAATTGGCGATTTCACCCACTTTGAGCCCTATTTTCGGCTAATTCCATTGTTCATAGCTATTTCTTTACAACTCCATTTTTTCCATCGATTGAGTACAAGAAACTGCCCATTTACCGATTTCAACTACCAATAACGTCGGAAATTTGCAATTTGGCCAATTTCATGAAAATTAAAAAATTTGACAATTTCAAAATAGGGTCCAGAATGAACAATGCAGACATTCCTGGCTCTAAAATAACATTTTCTTTGTTCATCAGTCACGTCTCCAGGCCCCTCTGATATTACTCTTGCTTTCTATTTTGAATATTTATTCAAACAAAAAATAGAAGATTTACTGTTATACAGACTACTGCAACATAGTAATAATTGAACAAATAATGTCAACCCATTCATGACTGCATATTAGAATGGTTACTTGGACATTTATTGGAAAATGACATCATTTGTTTACTTTTGAACATCTGCAAAAATCAAACATTTCCCCTAGTTTGAGTTCCATTTCAAGGTTCTTTTCATAGTAAAACCAATCAAAATCACCTCTATTTCTATAATATGTTTATCATTCTGTCAAATGAGGCCAAGAAAACGAGAATACAACCATAAATACTACACGAAAATAGACCACAAATTCGGCATTTTAATTAAGAAAACGGTAGTTTTTTTTTCTCGTTATGCACTACGTACTGCAGGATTTCTTTTATATGGTGCACACTGATCACACAGACCCATTCTCTCACATATGGGCCTACCAGCTTTCTCCTGCTCGATTTGGGTGTGAAGCATGGGTGATGAATGTTGCAGCGAGGAGAAGGCTGGAGGCAGTGGAGATGTCATGTCTGAGGGCAATGTGTGGTGTGAATATAATGCAGAGAATTCGTAGTTTGGAAGTTAGGAGGAGGTGCGGGATTACCAAAACTGTTGTCCAGAGGGCTGAGGAAGGGTTGTTGAGGTGGTTCGGACATGTAGAGAGAATGGAGCGAAACAGAATGACTTCAAGAGTGTATCAGTCTGTAGTGGAAGGAAGGCAGGGTAGGGGTCGGCCTAGGAAAGGTTGAAGGGAGGGGGTAAAGGAGGTTTTGTGTGCGAGGGGCTTGGACTTTCAGCAGGCGTGCGTGAGTGTGTTTGATAGGAGTGAATGGAGACAAATGGTTTTTAATACTTGATGTGCTGTTGGAGTGTGAGCAAAGTAACATTTATGAAGGGGTTCAGGGAAATCGGCAGGCCGGACTTGAGTCCTGGAGATGGGAAGTACAGTGTCTGCACTCTGAAGGAGGGGTGTTAATGTTGCAGTTTAAAAACTGTAGTGTAAAGCACCCTTCTGGCAAGACAGTGATGGAATGAATGATGGTGAAAGTTTTTCTTTTTCGGGCCACCCTGCCTTGGTGGGAATCGGCCAGTGTGATAATAAAAAATAAAAAAAAATAAATAAATAAAAAAATATGCTGCATAACATAAACATGATAAATACACACCATAGTAAAATAAATTAACATAAATATGGTATGTTTGGTGTAGATGAATGTGTATGACCAAAACCAGATACATTCATCTGCTTGTTTACATACTACACATCTCTCTTCTCTCTCATTTACTCGTTCTCTCTTTCGTTTATGCGTTTTACCTTGTTTATTCGCCTCTCACCCTACAGTAAAACTACAAATATTTTAACCCTTAAGCGGTCCAAACGTATATATATGTTCACTCGCGCAGCGCCCCGAATATTTTGAAAAAAAAAATTACTTTTTTTTTTTATAGAAAAAAAAAAGAGCACATTTTTTAACCCCTTGACTGTCGCAACCCCCAATCCTGAGGCGTCTCCTGGTGTCGCAAAAAAAAATATTTTTTCTTATGAAATGATATAGAATCTTTTCCCGATTGTAATGACACCAAAAAAACCAAATTTGATGGAAAACTGACGGAATTATGCTCTCGCGAAGTTAGCGACCTTGGCGCTGTTTACAAATCGGCTATTTCGCCCACTTTGAGCCCTATTTTCGGCTAATTCCGTTGTTCCAGTCGCCCAAACTCGGCTATTTCTTTAGAACTCCATTTTTTCTATCGATTGAGTACAAGAAACTGTCCATTTACCGATTTCAACTACCTAATAATGTGGTGAGAAATTTGCAATTTGGCCAATTTCACGAAAACTAAAAAATATGACAATTTCAAAATAAGTCCAGAATGAACAATGCAAACATTCCTGGCTCTAAAATAGCATTTTCTTTGTTCATCAGTCATGTCTCCAGGCCCCTCTGATATTACTCTTGCTTTCTATTTTGAATTTTTATTCAAACAAAAAATAGAAGACTTACTATTATGCAGACTACTGCAGTACTGTAATAATTGTATAAATAACATTAACCCATTCATGACTGCATATTAGAGTGGCTAGTTGGACATTTATTGGACAATGGCATCATTTGTTTACTTTTGAACATTGGCAAAAATCAAACATTTCCCCTAGTTTGAGCTCCATTTCTAGGTTCTTTTTATAGTAAAATCAATCAAAATCACCTCTATTTCTATAATATGTTTTCCATTCTATCAAATGAGACCAAGAAAACGAGAATGCAACCATAAATACTATGCGAAAATAGACCACAAATTCGGCATTTTAATTAAAAAAAACGGTCGGAGTTTTTTTTTTTTCTCATTATGCACTGCATGCTCTAGGATTTTTTTTATATGGTGCACACTGACCACACAGACCCATTCTCACACATGTGGGCCTACCAGCTTTCTCCTGCTTGATTTGAAGCCACTAGAATTTACGAGTATATACTATACGTCAAACACGGTACCTCGTAAGACGTATATATACGGCCGCGACAGTCAAAGGGTTAATAAAAAAACTTTAGGGTCAGTACTTACCGAGATATGAGGCCGAGAAGTTGGCACTGGATGCTCATGTGACAGCAACATAGTCCTGCCGCTTGCAGAAGTGTTGCCGATATACCTTTTTTTTCTATTTTTCATATTTTATTTAATTTTTATGTTCTGATAATTACAATTTGTAGTAGTTCTTGTCATTTGATAACCAATCTTTGTTCTGACACTAGTATTAGGTACTGAAATTGTACTCAAATTGTCACAAACACACTTACAGGTGGACATATACACCTGCCTTAGCCATTTACTATTGTCTTGGAATATATACAAAGCATTTATATGTCCCAGCAATGTTTTGGATATGTGGAAGTATATAATAACAATGAGGAGGAGGAAGAGGAGAATGAGGAGGAGGAGGAAGAGGAGAAGGAGGAAGAGGAGAAGGAGGAAGAGGAGAAGGAGGAAGAGGAGAAGGAGGAAGAGGAGATGGAGGAAGAGGAGATGGAGGAAGAGGAGATGGAGGAGGAGGAAGAGGAGGAGGAGGAGGAGGAAGAGACGGAGGAGGAGAAGAATAATTCGTAATAATAATAATAGGTAATAAGAAGTTCCCTTGAAGCATGAAAAACAAAGTCCACCCCTGACAGTGACATAATAAGATAACTGATAAGAGCTGATGTTTGATGAGCATACATGAGGGTGCATCTGATAAGAAAAGATTAGAGGTGATATTTGATGGGCATCGCCCTCACTTCGTTTTCGCTGGTACACAAACATGTCTGTCAAGCTCCCTGTCTATCCTTCTAGCTCTGTCTCAGAGAGCCACAAGACTGCGTCGTCATCACGTTTACTCACATTTTCAAGCAGAGTATAGCACTTGTCTGGATTTTTTGGGTTATCCTAGGTAATTTACACTATGTATACTTGTATTTATGTGTACCTGTGAGACAGAGATAGATAGAGAGATTGAAAGAGATACAGAGACAGATAGACAAAGACAGAGGTAGACAGAGACAGAGGTAGACAGAGATAGAGACAGAGGAAGATAGAGATAGAGACAGAGGAAGATAGAGATAGACAGACCCTAAACTTGGGGTTAACATCACTTTCTTCTTAAAAGAGGAGTGTTAATATGACATTGCATCAGTGAATTCTTGGTGTTTGCCGCACTGTTTGCTCTAGCTGGAGCTCAATTTAACTAGTGCTCCCACAAGGTACTAAGTGGTCCCAGATTTTTTTAATACCACGCACACGGAGTGTTAGGACCCATTCTATGCTGACAAGGCATCTCGGGCCAGTCATGCCAAATTTGAAGGCAGGAAAAATAAATATATATACGTTTGGGGTGCTACGCGTAAGAACGTATATATACGTTGGACTGTTTAAGGGTTAAGGTAAGTAATGAGTGTATTGTACATGCATTTATCACTGGGGCACTTTAAATGCCGTTGTATATTACGTGTGGGTGGGGGTGTCCTGGCTGGCTATCATACCTCCCACATGTGACTTCTTACAATAAATGTGACTCACATTTCACCCTATATTAAGACTACAAATATTTTAAGATAAGTAATGAGTGTACTGTGTATGTATTTTACTTATTGTTTTTAATGCCTAGTTCTATTGATAACTTAATATATGTTATTGTAAACTTGTTATCTGGCATTTATGTGCATTTATAAGCGGAAAAAATGGCATTCTGCTTTCCAGCGATGTCTGCTTGTAACCTAACCTGCCATATAAGTGGGGCCCTACTGTATTTGTCTTTGTACTTATTTTGCAACCTGAATTAATGGCCATATTTTGTTGTACTTGTTTTGAAGTGAATAAAAATGCTAAAAAGCATTATTTAAAAAAAAATCTGATGTATTATTTGTTTCCAAGGTATTCTGGAGGCAATGCTTACAACCCTCAACCCATACCTGAGTGGCAGAAGGGCATTAATAACTTCTTCAAAGCAGTTTCCAAGCCTCAAGATGGAGAGGGCAGCAGCAGTGGTGATGGCAGCAGCAGCGGCGGAGGCAGCAGCAGCAGCGGCGGAGGCAGCAGCAGCAGCGGCAGAGGCAGCAGCAGCAGCAGCAGTAGTAGTGGTGGTGTTGATGGCTGTGGTGGCAGCAGCAGCAATATTATTTCTGAGGAGAGGCCAGGATCCTCAATGAGCAACAATGGAACTTCCTGCAGCTTTAACAAAAATGGAATGATCTCTGATGATAGTGATGACGATTGATTTAGTTTTCAGCTCAACAGTGTTGGGATGATAAAGTATATGTACTTCTTAAGGATTTTTTCTACTAAAGTCACTATATTTTTTGTATTTTAGTTTAAGAATCTCAAATTATATTTTATAAATGAAACAACTTTAATATGTTAATTGCATGAAAAAGAAACACTGTATAAGGTTCAGTAGTGAATAATATTGCATAAGCATGTTGGGTATTATTTCTTGAAATTCTCTGCCTCATTTCTAAGTTTGAATGACACACTCTTAGTCTTTTATAATTTCTTTGCATTCTCTTGACAGTTACATAAAGTTGGCTAAATAACAAGCTGTAATTTGTGAGGTACATTAGATATTGTTATGCTGCATTTGTGGTTGAAATAAATTTTATGTATGTACATTAAATTGTGTTAATAAAAGATTTTATATGTAAATGTGTATGATGTATGCTGTATGTCTAGGGACCGCTATGTGAATGACATATACTGTACACTGGATTTTTACTGGCTTTACATTTGCTGGTTACCACAATTTTAGGTTTGTGGTCACTTGTTTGTGTTGTCAGGCACCTCCTCAGGCCAAAGAAAAAAACTTGCTAGCTGCTGGGTAAGCAGAGGGAATGAAGAGTAAAATTACTCTACCTCAGTCAGGTATTCTCACAGTGGCTGGCTGGAAACTTCTGATTCATGTGACAGTGACCAACATAATTCTTATATGAAAGGCAAACACCCACATGCTGCATCCCCAGTAACTCTGGCACCAACAGCCCTGATACCACCCTGCCACACACACAACATCTGAAGCCACCCTGCCAGCACCACAACTGGTACTACCAACACCCCTGAAAACCACCAGCTGCCCTTACAACACTGCATGGAACACCATCAACACTAATGAAACCACTTGCCCTGCCAACACCACACGTTATATGTACATCTAGCTGCCCTGGCAACAACATATGTTACGCGTCTAGCTGCATTGGCAACAGCATATGTTATACATCTAGTTGCCCTACCAACAGCACATGTGACACCACCAGTACCAATACATGTATTACCAGTTCATTGCCTGAAGCATCAAAAGGTTCCCTATCTGCCAGTTGATTCAGATCTATTTTTAACAAGCACCTCATATCCCTAACATAACTGAAACAACCATATGCTATGTTAAATATAACTAGCTCATTCGTTTTTTCTCCAGTCTTCCTTCAACTCCCATAGAAAATTTATTATACGTCTTGTCCCATTATATTTCTACTTGACTGTATTTTTGCTTGACCCTACTCAGTCAAGTTGAAATACTATAATGGGACAAGATGTGTAATAAATTTGATTATATTTTTTTTTTTTTTTTTTTCAACAAGTCGGCAGTCTCCCACCGAGGCAGGGTGACCCAAAAAAGAAAGAAAATCCCCAAAAAGAAAATACTTTCATCATCATTCAACACTTTCACCACACTCGCACATTATCACTGTTTTTGCAGAGGTGCTCAGAATACAACAGTTTAGAAGCATACACATATACATATAAAGATACACAACATATCCCTCCAAACTGCCAATATCCCGAACCCCTCCTTTAAAGTGCAGGCATTGTACTTCCCATTTCCAGGACTCAAGTCCGACTATATGAAAATAACCTGTTTCCCTGAATCCCTTCACTAAATATTACCCTGCTCACACTCCAACAGATCGTCAGGTCCCAAGTACCATTCGTCTCCATTCACTCCTAACACACTCAGGCATGCTTGCTGGAAGTCCAAGCCCCTTGCCCACAAAACCTCCTTTATCCCCTCTCTCCAACCCTTTCGAGGACGACCCCTACCCCGCCTTCCTTCCCCTATAGATTTATATGCTTTCCATGTCATTCTACTTTGATCCATTCTCTCTAAATGACCAAACCACCTCAACAACCCCTCTTCTGCCCTCTGACTAATACTTTTATTAGCTCCACACCTTTTCCTAATTTATAATATATTTCTACTATAAATAATTTCTTGTATCTTCATCTTTATTCAGTTGCTCCACAAAACAGATCATGAAATCAGTTTGAAATAATGAAGTTTGTGGTTATAGGAGGGCGGGGGCAGGAGGAAGGAGGAGTGATTGGTGGAATGATGAAGTAAAGGGTGTGATAAAAGAGAAAAAGGTAGCTTACGAGAGGTTTTTACAAAGCAGAAGTGTTATAAGAAGAGCAGAGTATATGGAGAGTAAAAGAAAGGTGAAGAGAGTGGTGAGAGAGTGCAAAAGGAGAGCAGATGAAAGAGTGCGAGAGGCACTGTCAAGAAATTTTAATGAAAATAAGAAAAAATTTTGGAGTGAGTTAAACAAGTTAAGAAAGCCTAGGGAAAGTATGGATTTGTCAGTTAAAAAACAGAGTAGGGGAGTTAGTAGATGGGGAGATGGAGGTATTAGGTAGATGGCGAGAATATTTTGAGGAACTTTTAAATGTTGAGGAATAAAGGGAGGTGGTAATTTCATGCACTGGCCAGGGAGGTATACCATCTTTTAGGAGTGAAGAAGAGCAGAATGTAAGTGTGGTGGAGGTACGTGAGGCATTACGTAGAATGAAAGGGGGTAAAGCAGCTGGAACTGATGGGATCATGACAGAAATGTTAAAAGCAGGGGGGGATATAGTGTTGGAGTGGTTGGTACTTTTGTTTAATAAATGTATGAAAGAGGGGAAGGTACCTAGGGATTGGCGGAGAGCATGTATAGTCCCTTTATATAAAGGGAAAGGGGACAAAAGAGATTGTAAAAATTATAGAGGAATAAGTTTACTGAGTATACCAGGAAAAGTATACGGTAGGGTTATAATTGAAAGAATTAGAGGTAAGACAGAATGTAGGATTGCGGATGAGCAAGGAGGCTTCAGAGTGGGTAGGGGATGTGTAGATCAAGTGTTTACATTGAAGCATATATGTGAACAATATTTAGATAAAGGTAGGGAAGTTTTTATTGCATTTATGGATTTAGAAAAGGCATATGATAGTGGATAGAGGAGCAATGTGGCAGATGTTGCAAGTATATGGAATAGGTGGTAAGTTACTAAATGCTGTAAAGAACTTTAATGAGGATAGTGAGGCTCAGGTTAGGGTGTGTAGAAGAGAGGGAGAATACTTCCCGGTAAAAGTAGGTCTTAGACAGGGATGTGTAATGTCACCATGGTTAATATATTTATAGATGGGGTTGTAAAAGAAGTAAATGCTAGGGTGTTCGGGAGAGGGGTGGGATTAAATTTTGGGGAATCAAATTCAAAATGGGAATTGACACAGTTACTTTTTGCTGATGATACTGTGCTTATGGGAGATTCTAAAGAAAAATTGCAAAGGTTAGTGGATGAGTTTGGGAATGTGTGTAAAGGTAGAAAGTTAAAAGTGAACATGGAAAAGAGTAAGGTGATGAGGGTATCAAATGATTTAGATAAAGAAAAATTGGATATCAAATTGGGGAGGAGGAGTATGGAAGAAGTGAATGTTTCAGATACTTGGGAGTTGACGTGTCGGCGGATGGATTTATGAAGGATGAGGTTAATCATAGAATTGATGAGGGAAAAAAGGTGAGTGGTGCGTTGAGGTATATGTGGAGTCAAAAAACGTTATCTATGGAGGCAAAGAAGGGAATGTATGAAAGTATAGTAGTACCAATACACTTATATGGGTGTGAAGCTTGGGTGGTAAATGCAGCAGTGAGGAGACGGTTGGAGGGAGTGGAGATGTCCTGTTTAAGGGCAATGTGTGGTGTAAATATTATGCAGAAAATTCGGAGTGTGGAAATTAGGAAAAGGTGTGGAGTTAATAAAAGTATTAGTCAGAGGACAGAAGAGGGGTTGTTGAGGTGGTTTGGTCATTTAGAGAGAATGGATCAAAGTAGAATGACATGGAAAGCATATAAATCTACAGGGGAAGGAAGGTGGGGTAGGGGTCGTCCTCGAAAGGGTTGGAGAGAGGGGGTAAAGGAGGTTTTGTGGGGAAGGGGCTTGGACTTCCAGCAAGCGTGCCTGAGCGTGTTAGATAGGAGTGAATGGAGACGAATGGTACTTGGGACCTGACGATCTGTTGGAGTGTGAGCAGGGTAATCAGTGAAGGGATTCAGGGAAACCAGTTATTTTCATATAGTCGGACTTGAGTCCTGGAAATGGGAAGTACAATGCCTGCAATTTAAAGGAGGGGTTTGGGATATTGGCAGTTTGGAGGGATATGTTGTGTATCTTTATATGTGTATGCTTCTAAACTGTGTATTCTGACCACCTCTGCAAAAACAGTGATAATGTGCGAGTGTGGTGAAAGTGTTGAATAATGATGAAAGTATTTTCTTTTTGGGGATTTTCTTTCTTTTTTGGGTCACCCTGCCTCGGTGGGAGACGGCCGACTTGTTGAAAAAAAATATATATATTTTTTTTTTTTTTTTTTTTTTTTTTTTCAACAAGTCGGCCGTCTCCCACCGAGGCAGGGTGACCCAAAAAAGAAAGAAAATCCCCAAAAAGAAAATCTTTCATCATCATTCAACACTTTCACCACACTCGCACATTATCACTGTTTTTGCAGAGGTGCTCAGAATACAACAGTCTAGAAGCATACACATATAAAGATACACAACATATCCCTCCAAACTGCCAATATCCCAAACCCCTCCTTTAAAGTGCAGGCATTGTACTTCCCATTTCCAGGACTCAAGTCCGACTATATGAAAATAACCGGTTTCCCTGAATCCCTTCACTAAATATTACCCTGCTCACACTCCAACAGATCGTCAGGTCCCAAGTACCATTCGTCTCCATTCACTCCTATCTAACACGCTCACGCACGCTTGCTGGAAATCCAAGCCCCTTACCCACAAAACCTCCTTTACCCCCTCTCTCCAACCCTTTCGAGGACGACCCCTACCCCGCCTTCCTTCCCCTATAGATTTATATGCTTTCCATGTCATTCTACTGTGATCCATTCTCTCTAAATGACCAAACCACCTCAACAACCCCTCTTCTGCCCTCTGACTAATACTTTTATTAACTCCACACCTTCTCCTAATTTCCACACTCCGAATTTTTTGCATAATATTTACACCACACATTGCCCTTAGACAGGACATCTCCGCTGCCTCCAACCGTTCTCCTTGCTGCTGCATTTACCACCCAAGCTTCACACCCATATAAGAGTGTTGGTACTACTATACTTTCATACATTCCCTTCTTTGCCTCCATAGATAACGTTTTTTGACTCCACATATACCTCAACGCACCACTCACCTTTTTTCCCTCATCAATTCTATGATTAACCTCATCCTTCATAAATCCATCCGCCGACACGTCAACTCCCAAGTATCTGAAAACATTCACTTCTTCCATACTCCTCCTCCCCAATTTGATATCCAATTTTTCTTTATCTAAATCATATATATATATCAAAATATAGCTAAACTAATCATTTACGCACTAGACACACAAAACAGTACTTACCGACATTGTAGAGGGTGAAATACTTGAGTATATAAGGAGCACTCAACGAAAAACACGAGTCTGGGCGACGACAAGCTAGAAATGTTTACATTCTGCTCTCTCGATCAATGGGAAGCGAGGAGATGCCATCACCGCTTAGCTGGAGCGACTTGGGGAAGGGTTGTGATTGGTCAGAAATAGAGAATGGGAACCCAGGTGCACGGGGGAAGTAGGACGACATGCGCAAAAACCACGCTATCAGGACCGAGTACACTCGGTCTTGCTGGTAAAGGGTTGCATTAGGATTAGTTTACCTGAAATGCATTACATACTAGTGGCTTTCTTTTGTGCCTACCAATGTTTTATTACATGTAAAATACATTTTTTTGTACCCCATAAAGAAATAAAAATTTGAATGTGAATTATCTTGCCAACATGTGACACTGCCAGCACCAGCTGCCCTGCCAACAACAACAGCTGTCCTGCCAGCAACAATCCTACCAGCACCAGCTTCCCTGCCAGCACCACACAGCACCAGCTGTCCTTCCAACCACACAGCACCAGCTGCCCTGCCAACACCACTAGCACCAGCTGCCCTGCCAACACCACTAGCACCAGCTGCCCTGCCAACACCACTAGCACCAGCTGCCCTGCCAACACCACTAGCACCAGCTGCCCTGCCAACACCACTAGCACCATGCAGCACCAGCTGTCCTGCCAACAACAGCTATCCTACCAGCACCACACAGCACCAGCTGCCCTGCCAGCACCATGCAGCACCAGCTTCCCTGCCAGCACCAGCTGCCCTGCCAGCACCACACAGCACCAGCTGCCCTGCCAACACCACTAGCACCATGCAGCACCAGCTGCCCTGCCAACACCACTAGCACCATGTAGCACCAGCTACCCTGCCAACACCACTA